CAATGTATTGGTTAAATGTGTCCAATTGTGTGCTCATTTTTTGAACTTCAGCTTGAACGACTTAATTTTTCCAAAATAATTCTTTTGCAACTTTTCTACCCATAGGCCTTTTACCTTTTGTAGAGACACTGCCCTCACCAATAGTTGGATTGTTACCAACACTTGGACTGGTGTCATCTTCAAGAGAAATGTAGTTATCCATATGGGAATCGGGGGTTGAATTAGGGGAAAACGGTGTATGTATTCTTGAGTTCATCGTGTTCATAAGAGTTACATCTTTGCCACCTAATATTATTTTGCAAGATTGGCCAACAATATTCAAAAAGAGAATGTTTGTTTTCATCTTGATGGTATAACAATTTTGCTTGAAGTATCTATATCAATAAAATATTAAATTAATTAATTAGTTAATTTTTATGTAAGACAAAATAAAAAAACTAACATGATAAATGGAAATGAAATCTTACTATATCAACTTGTGACACCCCACTTGGATGTAGATTTTTGATTTGCGCTAGACACCCACGAAATTTGTTGTAACATTTCATGATTACACCCCATCAAGATGAGATAGACACTTGTGTTCTTGAGTGATCATTCTGCAACGAGCAATAATTTTAAAAAATTCTTCCCAAAAAATGAGCATGTGATTGTGAATTTCCAACAATTAGATCTTCAGTAATGTGACACCAAGCTCTACAAATTACCACATCTTCTTCAATAGTGAATGATTTTTCTCTTTTTGTTTTTAATGAACCTTCCATAGTGATTGGCCGAAAAAACTAAAAACAAAATATTTTCGAAAGTAATTTTGAAAGTTCGTTCTCAAATACAATTGAGATAAAGAGAGGAGAAGAGAAATATGTTCTGTAAATGAAATTGAGATTGAGGTTTCTAGTTATAGAAATGTAAAATATGACTGTTTAGAAAAAAAACAAGACCGTTAATTTATAATTGATTTTATTTATTTATTTTTTTTTTTGAATTTTTTTCTAGGCCAAAAGAGCACAACGGCTCTTTTGCCTTCCCAAGATAAATCACCACCGTCCACGTAAAGGATTTCTAACGAATGAGATCCATATCCAGAATGATCCAACCCTCTCCATCTCACTTCGACTCTATCTCCCTCTTCCTCTCACTCTCACTTCTCTGTATAATCATCTTCCTCTCTTTATCATCCAGAATGATCCAACCCTCTCCATCCCACTTTGACTCTATCTCCCTCTCACTCTCACTCTCACTTCTTTGTATAATCATCTTCCTCTCTTCATCATCCAGAATGATCCAACCCTCTCCATCTCACTTCGACTCTGTCTCCCTCTCCCTCTCACTCTCACTTCTACCCCCCACCGCTCTCTTGATCTCACCTATCTCTCTCTCTCTCTCTCTCTCTCTCTCTCTCTCTCTCTGTCGCACTTTTTCATTCGTAGAACCCAGATCTTTGCAGTTGTCTCATTTCTACAGCCCCACCGTGTGCCAATCACCCTCTCAATCGATCATCCATGTCTCCAAATCTCGCAAACGCACCTCAATCGATTATCCATGTCTCTAAATCTCACAAACCCACCTCCTTCATCATCCATGTCTCCAAATCTCACAAGCCCACGTCCATCTCCCATGGACATAGAAGACAACCCGTCAAAGACCACCCACCTCCTTCATCTCCTGCGATATTGTCGATCCCTCTCACTCTCTGTCTCACTGTCACTGTCACTGTCGCTGTCACTATCACTCTCTTCTCTCTTTCTTTGATCGGCGATGAAGAAGATTGAAACCCTCTGTTTCTCTCACTCACTCTTCTCTGTCACTCTCTGTTTGACTCCCATAATGGATCGGTGTTAAAGAAGATTGAAACCCTAATGATGAACACAAACAAGATCATCCAATTAATTGATCATTCCTCTCTGTCAGGTTTTTTTTTTTCCTTACTGTCATCTAATTTTTTTTTGAATTTTCTGTGAAATTGATGGTGAAATTGGTGAAATTGATGAAATTGGTTTTGATTAGTGAAATTGTTGGTGAAATTGATGGTGAAATTGATAAAAATTGATTTTAATTAATTTTCTGTGTTAATTAATTTTAATTAATTTTCTGTGTGAATTTGGAAATTGCTTCACGTTGTTGTGTTAATTAATTTGGAAACTGTGTTTAGAAAGGATGATGAAAAAGGGAGGGAGGGAAGGAGGAGGTTGGTTGAAGCTGATGACTTGGAAGCTTTGGCAAAGCTTGTGCCATATTTGACACAAGTTTTGGCATTTGCCAAAGATAGCAGCTGCTACAAGTTGCCATTGGAGATGCCTTTCTATCCACTGCTGCCATAATTTGACAATAGCAGCTCCAATGACACACCATTGGAGATGCTCTAACCCTAGTTTTCTAACTTTTGTCTTTGGCCCTTTTTACTTCTGTTCCTACGTTCTTATTTTATTTGTTATTTTTTTTTATATCTTATCACCATTTTATATTTAGTAAAGTCTATGGTTATGAATCTAACAAGTTAAAATAATTCTTATCATATGTATATGTATATTAGATAGTCGGACTCATTATAAATTAAATAATTTCCCTTAAATTTTTTTACTTGTGTTTTATGAGTTTACTTTTAAGTTCGTGAACTTATTATTTAGGAGTGAATTTTTTTTAAAGTTTAAATCCAAACTAGTCAAAATTTGAGAAGCCCATAAAGCCTATCATAAATCTTTCTTCAATGATCTGAGGAACTGTTCATTCATGAAAAAATTTATGTTGATCTGATAGTCATAGTCTTTCCAATTTATCGTGTTTGTATCAAAAAATGGATTGTCTATTTTTAGAAATGTATTTGGTGAACCCTATTAGCCCCTCATGTTCTCTCAAATATATATTTGAATTTTAGAGAAACCTAACTTTTTTTTTTCTCCTTCAGCTAAAAAAAACTTTATCGATGAAGAGTCAAAGTACAAAAAGAACAAAGATGCGACAAAGAGTGGCAAGTGCAAAAGACATCAACGCCAAACTAATCCATCACAACCAGGTTGACACCAACTAGCAATTATATGGGTTGTGCCTGGTTCTGTTGAATGTTTGTTGCATTGGTGGATTGGTTCCTGTCTTATGAAAGCTGAAAGGAGGATATGGAATGCTATTGCTTGTCCTTTGGTCCATCTAGATGCATCAAAATGATTGTTTGTTCAATAATGTTCAACCAACTATGAAGGAACTTCAGGTGTCAATTATTATCAGATTAGCTATTTGGCTGAAAGATTCTTCTAAGGATTGTCAGTTTTCTATTAATGATTTTGTGTACAACATCTGGCAGATTAGAGTTTGTTTAGGTGGCAGGCTTTGATGCGATGCACAAAGATAAACATTAGGTTTGGGTGTATCAGCAACAGCAGAGGTGTCCTGGTTTATAATCTGCCTTCTTCTGGTGAGCAGTAGCAGTAGGTGTTGGTCTAATTCTTTATCTATCTTGGGTTGGTTAACCTCTTTATCTGTCTTTGGGTTGGTCTTGGGTTGGTCTGCCTATATATCTGTCTTTGGGTTGGTCTGGTTGCTGCTTTGCTGTTTTCTTTTTTTGCTATTCTGATGAGGGTGCCCCCTCTTCTCTTTATTGATGTATTTGTGTGTACATCTTGTATCTTTCATGGTTATCAATAAAGATTTCTTTTGCTGATAAAAAAAAAAAAACTAGCAAGTACAATCTTCTGCTAGTACCACTCCAACAAGTGGGTGAGAAGCCAACCTAGAACAAGGGCAAGGAGACCCAACCCTAATTTAATATGTAGTACTAGATGCATGTAATTAAATCACGAAAAATATTTGAAACCTCAAAACAATTCTCAAAATTCTATTCACAATGATATGTCATAATAGGTGTAACTTTTTGATTTATTAGGCTTCCAAAGATTGAAGGCTTAATTATCTTGTCACATCATTGTCGGTGAATTTGTGAGTCAAATGTGTGGATATCTAATATTACACTTAAAACACAATGAATTATATAAAATAAGAAAAAAATTTAGAATCTTTAAAATATTACTCATAAATTTACTCACAGTGATATGAACTATTACGTGTCAATTGTTAATCTACATAACCCTATGGGGTTGGCTTCGTGGTCAATGTTTGGGGATTGAGAGTGTTCTCCCCAAATATCATATAGGTTTTTGTTCTAGGTTTAATTGGATCCCTATTAATGGACTAGTGAGATTAGTTTCCCAGATTAGTCGGTCTATTAAGTTAATGCCAAGTTATATAAAATAATAATAATAATAATAATAATTAAATTGTTAATTTACTTAGAAATCAATAAAACCCAATCATATACCACATTAGCATGTATAAATTTAAAAGTATTGTTTAGAAATTTGGACATTACTCTAAAATAAAACTAATAAAGGTCTTGTTTGGAAAGTGTATTTTAGTTTAAAAGTCAAAAAATTATTAAAACTGGCAAACAAAATCTGTGTTGTTTTGGCAACTAACTATTGTAGTTGATTTTTTAATTTTTTATAAAAAAATGTGTAAAATAATAGAGAGAATAGTTAACTTTTTGTAGTCATTTTCTAACTATTTTAGGTGGTTTTCAAAGATTTCATTTTCTTTCTATTTTTTGTACTTTTTTCGTAAAAATTAAAAAATCATTCTAAACATACTAATTTTTTTACCTCGTATCTTAGCTAAAAAATTCAAAAAATTATTAAAATAACATATTTCCAAATGAAACATGATTCAATGTGTAAGTGTCATCCCTTTATCCTTCTATTGTTTTTATTTACATAATTTAATTTTGTATAATTAAAGATACTTGAATTTTACTTAGGCCTAGGTTGGTGGGTGGTAAATTATTTATTTATTCAAATATTTCTATTTCTATTTTTCCATACATTATTTAATAAAGAGTTTGTTGTTTCAAGTCCCAAGATTTTCTCATTTTCACTATCCCCCATTCTTCTTTGTTCTCTCTCTCCTCTTTGCTTTGGCATATTTTCTCTCTTGTTTAGTCACACCTCACAAGTGATATCTTGTCTCTCCTTTTTTACTCAATAGGGTTTTACTTTATCAACCTTGATTTTATTCATTTTTCAATTTTCCTTTCATATACACTTCACCCTCTTCTTTTAATTTGGTGTTTTTGTTCAGTCTACACCTTTTAAAACTTTTGGTTTGTTTTGGGCTCTCTCTCTCTGTATATATATATATATATATAACACCTACTAATCTACCCAACTGTTCTCCCCTTCCCACCCATCATCATGAGTGATCCCTATTCCAATTACTTCAATGGGTGGTTCAATCCAAACCCTGTGCACCACTTCTCTTCTTCTACCTCTTCTTCAAACCCACCTTTCCATTGTCCTTTTGGCTTCAACTTGTACCCTAATGACATCAATAGTTACTACCACTCCTCTCTTCCCTCTCCTCCCTCTCCTCCCCTCAGAGAAGCCCTTCCTCTCCTCAGTTTGAGCCCAATAAGACCTGAACCTCAAGAGAGAGATTCATCTTGCGCTGCCATGATGGAACTCGACAACAACACCAAGGACAAAGAAGAGAACTTCAGCTTCTTATTAGATAGATCTGCTGATGATGATGAAACTGTGACTGTAGCTCTACATTTAGGTCTCCCTAGTCCTAGCTCTGCTGATGCTGATCTGATCTCAAGACTCTCTTCCTCGACAGAGATGACAGATGCTAATAAGGAAGAAGAAGTCACTGTTGCCTCGGGGTTTCCCATAAGCCCACTCAACAAGGGACAGTATTGGATCCCAACCCCTTCTCAGATTCTGATTGGTCCAACACAGTTCTCATGTCCTCTATGCTTCAAGACCTTCAACAGATACAACAACATGCAGGTATGTCGTATGAAATGAAATCCATGATCTCAAAAGCTCCCCTTTCCTTTCCTTTCTTTTCCTTTATCTTCTTTTCATTTTTTTTTTTTTTCTTTTTCCTTTTGATTTTGCAGAAAAAGAGAAAACCCATCCCTATCTTTGCTTCCACAAACTGCTTTTCTAGCTTAATTTCAACCTTTCACTTTTATTCTAATTAAGCTGGAAGGACGGTGATGAGAGAAGGGAGATATACATGGGTCTTAAGGGCTTACTTTTTCTTCAACTTTAAATAGTAATAAGAGTATTTTTTTTTTTTTTTATATTTTTAATACATCTATTCTTTTTGCATGATTTGTGGATTTTGGGATTTGAATAAATCTTCCTGGTCCAACTGAGGCCATGATCAGTGCCTTTTCTTTATTTGATTGAACTACACAGGCATTATGCTTTTTGTACCTTGGAGTTTGTATTCTACACATTGGCAGGTGTGAAAAAACTGAATATTCCACAGTTCTTCCAGGTCTCAGATGATCTTTTCTTTTCAATTTAAGCACTCAACCTTAAGATCAAAACGACCTCATGACATATACATGGAAAACCCCCCTCACATGCTGGTATTGTTTGCTTTATAAATGAGGAAATTCATATAGACATTAGAGACCCTAAACATGTAATAATAATTGGTTAACCCATGTAAAGTAAGCAATGCTTTTTTATTTTTAAGTTCATAATATTACCAAATGGTTCTTTAATTCACTCCATCCACCAATTCAATCTGCAGAAATCCCCCAAACTTCTGAATCTATAAATGCCATGTATATTTATGAAAAATGCTATATGTTATTTATTTTTTGTCACCATTTTGTATCTTCTTTGTTTGGAAGCAGTCATTAAGAAAAAAATAAAGACAAATAATATATGAAGTCCTCTATATACTTGAGGCTTAAGCACATAAAACAACTTGAGTAATCATAACTGTATTGACAAAACATACCATTGTCCAATGTCATATGTACATAAGAATGCAAAATAGGTTAACATTTTGGTGCAAGGACTCCTAAGCTGGTGCCTTGAGTCCAACTTTGTGTTTTTATTAGTACTTAAACCCTTTTCTGGACTGAAAGTATGGTATAGGTAAATTTCTAAACATAAATTCTGAATATGTAGCATTGCATATTGTGTTGTTTCTGAGCATACTTAATCCTTTTCTTTTTGATTTTGCTTCATGTGTATGTATAGATGCATATGTGGGGACATGGATCACAGTATAGAAAAGGGCCAGAATCTCTAAGAGGAACACAGCCAACAGCAATGCTGAGGCTGCCTTGCTATTGCTGTGCAGCAGGGTGCAGGAACAACATCGATCACCCGAGAGCGAAGCCTCTCAAAGATTTTAGGACCCTTCAGACCCATTACAAGAGAAAGCATGGAATTAAGCCATTCATGTGCCGCAAGTGTGGTAAGGCCTTTGCAGTGAGAGGTGATTGGAGAACCCATGAGAAGAATTGTGGGAAGCTCTGGTATTGCACTTGTGGTTCTGATTTCAAGCACAAGAGGTCTCTCAAGGACCATATCAAGGCCTTTGGCCAGGGTCATGCACCTTATGGGATTGACTGCTTTGATGAAGAGGATGAACCCGATTCTGAAATCGAGCAAGATAATGTATCCTTACACTGATATGTAAAAACAAGACAAGTCAATGCACGAGACTGTTTCAAATGCTAAAGGGTCTGATAAAGGTGAGATGTATGCAGAAATTAATGGCTATGAAATGTGAAGTGTCTCTCAGGTTTTGAGTTGATATATATAGTGATTTGTTGGTTTGGCACATGAGTCATGACATGGGCCATTGGCTAAATGAGTAAAAGGACATCCCAGCATTGCAATTACTTTGAGAGATTTCCTTTTGTTTGCTTTAACTTTTCCCTTTGACTTGCTCCGAATTGCAGTCTTTCAGATGCCAAAATACAAACCAAGGTTTTGTAAATCTAGTTTCTTTTCGTTTCCACTCTCTCTCTCTCTCTCTCTCTCTCTCTCGTTCGTATGTGTGTAGTGATGGAACTACTTGCTGTCAATGGAGCATGCTCGAATCCGTTTTACTTGCTGGTAGCCCTTACAGCACCACACCTAACCAGGATATAAGCTTATAAATACATAAGTATGTCTATGTGGGATCCATGTATATACCTATGTATATTTACAGTACATGTACAGCTTTTCCTAAGTTTGTATAAATATAGGCTCTGTTTGGTTGTGAATTCAAAATATAATTCCACATGTGTATTTCAGTATGATGTTTGGTTGTGTGTTTGGAATCAACTTTCCAAACTTCTGCAGAGAGCTCTGTATTACAGCCGCATTTTTTGTTCAAATTTTGGCCAGGGGAAGACCACGCGGACGTCCTTAGGGACTACCGCCCGGACGTCCATGGGGACATCCACCTGGATGTCCTCTGCTGTACAGGAAATTTTTTTTTTTGCAATTGATTTATATAATTGGGAAAAAAAAATTCTGAAATTTTTTTAATTTTTAATGTGCTTTAAAATAATTTTGAGTTGTATATTTAGTTATGAGTTGTAAATTTTTGTATCACATATCAAATATCACATCAACAATTCCCCACTCAAATCAAACATCTTTTCCAAAACTATTTTCAAAACTCTTTACCAAACAAATTTTCTACACTCAAATCATAATTTTACAACACACAAATTCAAAATACAATTCATACTCTCAAATCACATTTACAAAACACAACCAAACGCAACCATATTTTTTTCCGCTCTTTGTAATGTTTTAATTTACTCTTATCTTCAATAAAAGTACATTTTTATGGTATATATTACGTATTTTTTCATAAATATTACATATTTTTTTGGAGAGTTACAATAATTTGTGATTCAAAAATAAAATTACGCATTTGATGATGATGTTGCACATTTTTTGCAATGCCACATATTTTTTTAAGAAAATGTTTGGATGAAAAAATGTGTAAGATTACGACAAAAATGGTAATATTACCACAAAATGCGCAATTTTATTTCTGAATCAAAAATTGTTATTACTCTATTAAAAAATTATGTAAAATTTATCACAAAATACATAACATATAATATAAAAATAAGTAATAGGGTACATATGATACACACTCTTACCATATGGTTTTTAAACACATTTGTCTATGGATACAAGTAACTTACACAAATATATAGAAAAATATGTATGAATGTACATAACTTGATACTTTTATGCATATCTTTATGTTTGGCAAAGTAAAATGTTTTCTCAATTAAAATAAAAAAAAATAAAAAAAATAAAAAAAAAAAAGAAGAGAAGAAGTTAGATTACATTATGGTTTGGAAAAAATATAATGAGCCTCTAAAGTTTAACATAATTATTCAAATTTTCTTGAGATTTGAATTTATATAACATTTAATCTTGTTTTTATTTGTAATTCATTAATTATATGAATTGAAAAATGATATTATACTTTTTTATATATAAATGTATATATTTACCTTCTATGTATTTATATCTATACAACATCTCTATTAATTTAAGTTAGGGGCATTTACATACAAGTCTCATTTTGTAAACTTATAATCCATTAGGTCCTATATAAAATTATTTGCTCTTCCAAGTCCTATTAATTTTTAATAGGCCAATTTACCCTTCCAAGACCTCCTCACCAGACATACTCTCTCTCTCCTCCCTACAGACTCAGTCTCTAGTCTCCTCCTCCTCTATATACTTGAGGCTTAAGCACATAAAACAACTTGAGTAATCATAACTGTATTTGACAAAACATACCATTGTCCAATGTCATATGTACATAAGAATGCAAAATAGGTTAACATTTTGGTGCAAGGACTCCTAAGCTGGTGCCTTGAGTCCAACTTTGTGTTTTTTCTTAGTACTTAAACCCTTTTCTGGACTAAAAGTATGGTATAGGTAAATTTCTAAACATAAATTCTGAATATGTAGCATTGCATATTGTGTTGTTTCTGAGCATACTTAATCCTTGTCTTTTTGATTTTGCTTCATGTGTATGTATAGATGCATATGTGGGGACATGGATCACAGTATAGAAAAGGGCCAGAATCTCTAAGAGGAACACAGCCAACAGCAATGCTGAGGCTGCCTTGCTATTGCTGTGCAGCAGGGTGCAGGAACAACATCGATCACCCGAGAGCGAAGCCTCTCAAAGATTTTAGGACCCTTCAGACCCATTCTCTCTCTCTCTCTCTCTCTCTCTCTCTCTCTCTCGTTCGTATGTGTGTAGTGATGGAACTACTTGCTGTCAATGGAGCATGTTCGAATCCGTTTTACTTGCTGGTAGCCCTTACAGCACCACACCTAACCAGGATATAAGCTTATAAATACATAAGTATGTCTATGTGGGATCCATGTATATACCTATGTATATTTACAGTACATGTACAGCTTTTCCTAAGTTTGTATAAATATATTTTTTTCCGCTCTTTGTAATGTTTTAATTTACTCTTATCTTCAATAAAAGTACATTTTTATGGTATATATTACGGATTTTTTCATAAATATTACATATTTTTTTGGAGAGTTACAATAATTTGTGATTCAAAAATAAAATTACGCATTTGGTGATGATGTTACACATTTTTTGCAATGCCACATATTTTTTTAAGAAAATGTTTGGATGAAAAAATGTGTAAGATTACGACAAAAATGGTAATATTACCACAAAATGCACAATTTTATTTCTGAATCAAAAATTGTTATTACTCTATTAAAAAATTATGTAAAATTTATCACAAAAATATATAATATATAATATAAAAATGAGTAATATGGTATATATGATACACACTCTTACCATATGGTTTTTAAACACATTTGTCTATGGGTACAAGTAACTTACACAAATATATAGAAAAATATGTATGAATGTACATAACTTGATACTTTTATGTATATCTTTATGTTTGGCAAAGTAAAATGTTTTCTCAATTAAAATAAAAAATAAAAAAAAAAAAAAGAAGAGAAGAAGTTAGATTACATTATGGTTTGGAAAAAATATAATGAGCCTCTAAAGTTTAACATAATTATTCAAATTTTCTTGAGATTTGAATTTATATAACACTTAATCTTGTTTTTATTTGTAATTCATTAATTATATGAATTGAAAATTGATATTATACTTTTTTATATATAAATGTATATATTTACCTTCTATGTATTTATATCTATACAACATCTCTATTAATTTAAGTTAGGGGCATTTACGTAAAGTCTCATTTTGTAAACTTATAATCCATTAGGTCCTATATAAAATTATTTGCTCTTCCAAGTCCTATTAATTTTTAATAGGCCAATTTACCCTTCCAAGACCTCCTCACCAGACATACTCTCTCTCTCCTCCCTACAGACCCAGTCTCTAGTCTCCTCCGTATGACTCCTTCCCCTTCGTCCAGAACGTCGTCAGCTCCAGCGCCGACCTCGACCACGTCAACCTCACCGCCTGCCACCGCCATGGTATCACTGTCACCAACACCGGCGACGCCTTCTTCACCGATTCAACCATTGCTACTGCTGCTAGTGCTGCGACGTGGCTCCAGCGCCGACCTCACCGCTTGCCACTGCCATGGTATCACTATCACCAACACCGGTGATGCCTTCTTCACCGATTCAACCCTTGCTGCTGCTGCTGCTACTACTGTTGCGACGTGGTCGTCGAATCGGAGTTACTGTGTAAATTAAGGAAATTACCGTCACCCCACTCAGGGAATTTGTAGAGATAGATTGGCCACTGCCATTAGAGATAGATAGAGATTTAGGATTTTTTGAAATTGAGAACCTTCTCAATTTATAATATTCTCAATTTTAATTATCAAAAAATCGAGAAAATTTTCAAAATTGATAATTATAAATTTTTTAGTTTTGATAGTTTTGATAATATCTCAGTTCATACTAGAAAAAAAAAATTTGAGAAATTTTCTAATTTTGATAATTATAAATTGAGAACATTCTCAATTTTAAAATTGTGAACATTTTCAGTTTTGGGATTAAAGGGCAGAACGTTTTTTTACCTGTACATGGGACTTATTGGTTCAAATTTTTTTTGATACGACCTAAGCTACCAGCAAATGTGTAGATAGGACTTTTAGATAATTAACTTAATCTAACATTATTCTGATAGTGTTTTTATGTCAAACTTATAAGGCTCACTATATTTTTTTCAATCTCAGGACTAGCCAATGTAATTTAATCTAATAAAAGAATCACAAATAAAATGTATACATAATTATGGCACACAAAAAAAATAAATAAATAAATAAAAATGACAAGAACTACTACAGTGACTTTTATTTTTAAAATGTCACTTCAGTATAGTATTTATATAGAATTTCTATTTGCAAATCAATTTTTTTTTTTTTTCAGAAAAATTTATATTAATTTTATCAATAACCCAAATGCATACACGTTGATATATAGATTATATATTATTATATGTTGTAGGTTGAATTAATAAGAAGAAAAGAACAAATATTCTACTTTAGGAAGGGATAGTAATGCATGGCCAAAGATAATCCTTGTTCAGTACTGTTTTCAACCTTTTGTCTTTAATAATTCCTCTTTGAAAAGGTGTTCAACAGAAAACAATTGGGTACTGAAGACATAGGATCCTTGGATGGATAGAAAGAAAGAAAAAAGAGGGCAGAGAGGGCACAGGTGGGTATATCAATCAGTATACTTTAGAGCAAATAGGCAAAATGCAGCTTGAGAGTGGCTTTTTCCTCAACCTTTAAATGCACCAGCTTTTTGAGTGCATATGATGCCCAATTTCCCTTTGTTTAGTGGAGAGATCTTGGTTGATGGATAGAACATATACCATGTTTGGATTCAGAATAAAAGCTCAAACCCAAAGATTAGAAAGACTGCAAAAGATAAATGATACATTATAGTTTTGTTCACCAATTATAAAAGTGAGTGAACGAAATCAAACTAAATGAGAAAAATAAAAAATATGTGGCCAAAAATAACTTATTTCTTTAAGTGTGTTTGATGTAACTTTTTGTAAATTAAAAACTCATAATAAGAAAATATAAGTGTTAACTACTCATTCCTAGGTTTCAAATAATCAATTACTCAAATTGTTAAAGAAAATATATATATATATATATATAGTAAGTGGAGCTTAATCAAATATAGTAGTACAAATTCTTAAAATATATATATATTTTAAAAAACGAATTACACTGGTA